ACATCTGAGACAGATTCAGTCTTGACAGTTATTCAAGGTGTAGTAGGGGGCTCCAGGGAAGGTCATCCTATTCACACGTTTGAGTATAAGGTTGACTAACAACCTGCAAAGAGTAGAAAATCATATTTCTACTCTTTTTTCCCTAGCTTACTTACCCTCAGACAGTCCGACCACCAGACCGTTAGTAGGGAGGTTTCTGTAGGTGTCATCCTATTACTTGTTTAACGACTGGACTACTCATTACCCAAGGAAGGTAGGAGAGGGACGTCTGTTGGGGTCTGTCCATTACCTACTTGATTCTATATTAACTTACGAAAAGAGTACTCCGATAGGAATACCCTAAACCCTCGTCTTCTGTCCAAACTAACCCGGTCTTAGGACGGTGAGGTTCAGAAGGGCAACAGGATACCCTTGTTCGGATTATCCTAATGCATTCATGGAGAGGACCTTGTCATGTGATAGTAGGGGGCTCTTGTGCGGGTCGCCTATTATTCACGCAAACCGTTATTAACCTCTGGGGAGGGTTTGACATCCAGATCTTCAAGGAGTATACCTAAAGCAAGTAGTGGGGTGTTTCTGTAGGAGCCTCAACTATTTGTTGTAGGAAGGATGCTCATGTGTGAGCTATCCTGATACTCTGAGCAGATCTTATTGAGTGAAACTAAAGGGGGTATGACTTACTCGACTGTATGATCGATTAACAGATTGCTTGGTATTGATAAAGTAGCAAGAGATTCATGTATGAATCGACCTGCTACTTGAGTATGCTAACACAAATAGAAGAGAAAGGAAGGAACAATGCTCCTGTTGGAGCAAGGTCTTCACATATCTGGAAAAGGAACGAGGAAAGAAGATAGGACCGCGGAAGAAAGAAACTTAAGAACCACCGCGTAGTTCATGGCCGTCCATGGCTTTTAGATGAAAGGTTACAACGATGAATGAAATACATCTCATCTACATAAGCGCCAAACAATGCGCTTATCCCCAAGAGAGAAAATGCGAGGACTGAGAGTAGGGGGATTAAGAGTTTCCCTAAAGACGACTTAGGACACAGGAATGAGACTCCTTGAGTGAAAGGAGAAAGTGACAGAAGGCTTAGGGTAAGGTTGTGAAAGTAAAGCTAGGGACTAGGCCTGGGGTGTCGATCCCAGAGCTCACTACCCATGTCTAAGGGCTTGACCCTTAAATATAAATATGTGGGAAATCGAGTGGGGATGTTGAATCTTTGTTGACCTGTGTGTGTGCAGGTCCATGTTTATCTACTGCATTTCAAGGAAAAGGTTCTACAGAAAGGACCCAAATTTCTGTTATGTTTCGATAACAGGTCGGTTGTTACCGTTTCAACTTTTCTCCTTTGACTTGATACCCACTTCTAAAGTCAAACCCTGTGGTCAGTAAAACTGTCACCTGTGGTTATTGCCTAAATGGTCCTCATCACTCTCAAGGGTTCTTTGATGAAATGTGAGGGGGTTGGGCTTACGTCTCAGGAAAGATAAGGCTGTCATACATGGCTTAGAAAGTGAGGGACAAGGTCAATGGTTGATGGTTGACTCCGTTAGTGCGTGGCATGTGAATTGTCTTTACATTATTCTGTGCAGGTCTGTTTTTGTGCGTGATTTTGGATTGAACTGGACCTGGTCTGTTGAAGAGTCTCGGACACACAACACTTGTGAAAGTGGGAAGGGTTATCGACGGTAATACTTCCATATTCATCATATGTTCAACTTAACTTCTATACTATTTTGATGTTCAGCTAAATCATAACCTATTAAGGAAGATAGAATGCTCTTTGGTAGAAAGTTGGTTTGATGTTAGTAAAAAGAATAATACATTACGAGTAGCGGTAATAGACTGCCTTTTAAAAGTTCGACCTGAATATCTAAAGGGTCAGTTCTAGGCGTTTTACCGCGCGTACCCCATTTTAAGCTACAACGATCAAGCAAACGTCCTCGGCCGACCTACCTCTACAAAGGCATGTAAAAACCTTCGCATGTGGGCCGGTAGCTCAGCAGGGATACACATACATAAGGGTGGTGACAGCTCCTCGGGTAGAGGTAAGTTGTACCTTGCGATTCCCCGACCTGTCGTGGGGTGTCGTGAGAGGTATAGCACGAGTGCACGGTCGGAGTGGTGACCGGTTTGTTTTTTTAGGAATACATCCTGCGTGACACGACCGTGAGGTTCAGCGCTCCCAGCGGGGTGCGGGACTGCCACGCGCGACCTTGTGATCATCGCCACCTGGACCATCATCACCGCCGTGACCCCCCTCCGACGCTCCTCGCCGAGATCTTCATCGCTGCCGTGCCACGTCAGCACTCTGTCACCCTCGCCGCCTTGATCCTTCCTGCCGCGCGCCACGTAAGCAACAAATTTTATTTTATTATATTTTTAAATTTTTTTCTACTTCTTTCTTTTCTCCATATCTTCTCCTCCTSCTACTGCGACTTCGAAATCACCTTCGATTTCGTTTCAATTTCAAAATCGAAATCGAATTTGACATCGTTTCGATTTTGGAATCAAAATCGAAATGAATTCGATTCTTCCCTCCCCCCCCACCATACTCATCGATATCATTATCATCATTGTCTCTTCCTCCCCCCCACCCTATCCTTTCCCCCCCCCTCGCGCCACATGATTCTTCCCCCCCGTTCTGCTCGCTTTTTCTTCCGCTTCGGGCCTCCCCCATTCAGCGCACCTTTCCCTTCTCCTTGCACTTCGACCTTCCTCCCCCATATTCCCGACTTTGCCCCCCCCGTATCCCGCTAATTTCCCCCCCACGACTCTCTCCTTCCTCGTTCTCTACACTCGCCCGTTTCCCCTCCGACCTTTTCCCCC